CATCTTGTAGCTGCTGTGGCTTGAAGGGTGGAGCTTGGAGTTGAAGCTTTGTTCTCTTTTCGGAGCTTTTTTAGGAGCTTAGGGAAATAAGGGTTTTAGGAAGAGCTTTTAGACTTAGTTCATTTCTTGCCTCAAACATGGAATGTTTTGTTTGCTTCCATCCTATCCTATGATTCAAAGTCCTCTCAAGGAAGCCCCATCTCTCCCTTGGGGGGATGAGTGGTATGCCTTAAAGAGTAGAACTTTTGAGGATACCCTTCTTTGCAGATGATGGTTTCTAGTGATTTCCTTTGGTTTTCACTAGTTCCCATTCATTATAAATTGATCTCAATAACCAATCTTTCTTGGTGGAGCTTGCTAGAGCTTAGGGATAAAGATCTAAGATGTTAAAGATGCCTTTCATAAGGTCTGCTTGAAGATGGAGTTATGTTACTGTCAATTTTGCTGTCAGAGCTGTTGTAGGAGTTTGGTGCTGCTGCTTGGGCTGCCTCCTTTGGGTTTTGTTTTCTGTATTGTTTGTTGGCTTGTGTAGCTTGCCCCCTAGGTTTGAGGTGAATGTTGGTTCACTTTGCCTGTTGTTTTCCCAGGTTCGAGCTTGAGTGGGACTCCCTTGCCTCGCTTGTATTGCTGCATTGCATGCATTTTACTGTATTTGCTGGCTTTCTTTTCTGTTTATCCCCTAGGGTCTCTGATTTCCTCTGTGCAAGAGGGAATTATGACAGACATTAGGATTCTTATCCATGCATGACAACATTAGGTTAGTTTTTATTCCCTTTTCAACCCTAGGTTTTTTAGAGCTTCTTTCTCTTCTTATCTCAAAACAACTCAAAAACACAGTAATAAGGTTAATCGATGTCGTACGTTACGAGCCTTAAGCTATTTGAGAAAGGGTTGTTGGAGAGCTTCTTTCCAGTAGTCTGGCTGCTTAGTGTGGTACCCTTTGGGTGACACGCGACGTAGTCACTCTCAAATCATAGTCTCTAGTGCGTCAGAGATTGCAAACAAACTAAAAAACACTTCTTTCGTAAAAGATTCAAAACAAACATCAAAGTGTCATTTTTGTCCGCTTGGACTCTTAATTAAGAAAAACCTTTTTTGAAGGTAATAAAAAAACAGTCAGACAAGCTTGTGTCTTCCGTAGCCCGAACTACATTTGCTCTGATCTTTCATACTGTATGAAAGTACGTAGGCATAGGATGTCGTATCCTAGCGAGCAACCTTCCCCTCCTTTCCCGTAGGTAGGCGAACTACGTAGACTCTGACTTTCCCATTGCACGAGGGAATACGTAGGCATAGAGCGACGAAGCTCTATCGAGTCTCTTTTCTCATTTTCTTTTCTTTTTAAGCCAGACCCTTGAGTGTAGATAGAATAACAATCCGTACTAGAAAACAAGCGTGGATCCCGTCGAGTACGGCGGACGTGAGGGGTGTTAATACCTTCCCCTTGCGTAATCGACTCCCGAATCCAGGAATTTGGTTGCGATGACCATTCCTTTCCCGTTTTGCGTTAGATTTACTCTGAGCGTTTCCTTTCCCTTCTTTGGGATAAATAACGCACGCTGGCGACTCTTCTGTCATAACCGGCGCCGATTTTCGCAGTAGCGACTCTGCTGGGGACTCCAACGGTTCCCTACGCGAGTCAGTCCTAGCGCTTGTTTTCCCGTCGTGGGTTTTGTATGGATTTACCTTTCTGTCTTTACTTTCCGCATTTTCATTCAGCTTTATATTGTTATTGCTGTTGTGGGAGGGGGTGACCTGCTGAGAGATAAGCCGGATCTGGGCTTGAGTGCACATAGAATTAGTTGTGGAAAGTAGTGGGCGCGTGCATGCTTTGCATGTACTAGTGTCCCGCAAAATTCACGCTCAGACGAGATTCTTCTGGTTGACTTCTTTTTCAACTCTTTGGGTTGAGGGGGTTGTTGGCTAGTTGGATTGTCGACTCTGGGGACCGATCAATTGGAAGTTGGCTAAGTGAGGTCTCTTCAGGACATGATGATTCCACACCTTCTGGGTATCGTATCATCAGTCTTGAAAGTCTGTGACACCGACGACCGCATAGGATGCCGTACCTTGTGTCAGTTGATAGGACACCTACCTGTGAGAGGGATTGGGACATGCAGGAAACTTGACCTCCAAACTACCCGGTTTTCTTAATATTGGATCAGTATGTGTGGTTACTTGGGGTTCTTCATCAAGACAGTGTTATAGGTCTGTTGAGACCAGGTTGGAGTTTTGTTATAGGTCTGTTGAGATCAAAGTGGAGCATTGTCATGGGTCTGTTGAGACCAGGGTTGAGCAGTATTATGGGTCTGTTGAGACAGATATTGTGGATGGATCTCTTCAGCAATATATCACTTGATCCATGTTGCATGTTTGCATATTGCATTGTTGCATACTCATTTTGCATATCATTAACGTGTGTCTGTGCTGCAGGTGCATTTCATACCCTCTGATTCTAGTTGCCCGGATTTCTGTCTGCTGCTATTATGGATACTTTGAAGAAGACTGTGGCATACAAGTTGCCTACTTTAGATGTTACTTCTTTGCTTGGGTTGATGTCTTTAGCTGATGATAATGTGAAGAGAAGCTTCAAGAAGAGTTATGGGAAACTGCTTAGGTTGGTTTGCAAACCATCCACGTATGAGCTGAACAGATTGTACGCGCTTATGCAGTTTTATGATCCCCCACTGAGGTGTTTTACTTTCCCTGACTTCATTCTGGCTCCGACCATGGAGGAATATGCTGAGGTCTTGGAGTTAACCATTCAGAACAGGGTACCCTTCATGCATATGGGTGTTGAGCCCTGCCAATCTTGGGGGACACACCTGTTAGCTCCCAAATTCGACTCTTGAGTTTTTTTATTAAAGAAAAAATAAAGATAATTACGTAAAGTGATGAAAGTGTTTCGACAGAGCTATTAGTCGAAACAATCCTTTGCGTGAAAGGGAAACTATGAATAAGAAGTTAAGAAAAAATATGTTGAAGATGGTTCGACAGAGATGGTATTTCAATGTGTGATTTGAATTCAAATAAAGGAGGAAATTTTCGTTCTTATCCAGATTTATGAAGAAGGACACATGGAGTTTTTCTATGAGAGAGAAACATGTCGAGCGTCATTTGTCATTTGTTTCTAGTGTAACCGTTAGGGTCGGTAATTTTCTATTATTATAAATAGAAGGTTTTAGTGTTAGGATAATGGTGTTCCAAAGTTTGTACAAAGTTTCTGAAATTACTCAAAGTATCCGCGCGTAGAGAAAAGAGTATGTCGAAGGAAATGTACGTTTGATTACACCATATCTTTATGTTTTTAATCCCAATTTTATCTTTTTAACACAAAGTCTACTTCTTTAGTATTCAAGTTATTTAATTGTCTTTTGATCAAGTTTTCTGCACTTTACTTCTTCTAAAATTCAAAGTTTTTAGTTGTTAGATCATGGATAATATTGGAATCTTTATTATTCTCCAAACTCTTAATTAAGAATTGCTAGCACATGTCTTAAGATTTGTGTGGTCGATCTTGTATGTAACCCAATCTCTTTTAATTGGAAAGACCAACGGTTATTTACAATTTTTCCAATAAACAACACCCCATACACTGTGAGTACTTCCTGGGGTTTAAACCTAACTATGCAACTTCACTAACTCAGAGAACAACAATAAAATAAACACAAAAAACAAAGGCCTGAGAGTTGAACAAACTCACCTTTACAAAGTCTCGCATGAGAGACTTAACTATCTAAGTTCCGCTCAATAATAAATTACCTTTTGCCTAGATTAAATCACTAAGCCATTTCCAAAACATCGTGCTTGAAGGACCGCGTACTAGGATAATTTCATTAGACATAAGAGAAGATAATCCAAGACAAGCCATATATACTAACAACACACGAACACAAAAGTAACACCATAAGCCACCCAAAATTATGCCATTGGCCACCCATAATTGGTAATAACTCACCTATATTGTGCTTGGGCCGTCAGGACCGACTTATTTCTCACCTGCTAATTAAAATGTAGGTAGTCACGTAGCCCCACAACTGCTCACTAAAAGAGTAATTAAATAGGGAAACTATCCCTTCACGATTCAAGGAAGGGTGAAACCCGTTCTCTCCACATTTTATGGTTAAAGAGTCAGAATAATCCACTTTTGATTATTTGACCTAGACTAATGAGCCTCTATAAATATCTCAACCTTAAAATCGGTGAAAGGATTCAATTTTTACTAAGAAAATGATACTAAGAGTTTCACACATCACTGCGTGAATTTATCTTAATCATCGTCAAAATACTATAAACACGACAAACAACCTTACAAACATGGACTGCGGTCATTGAACTTTTTTAACAAATAACAAAACTAAATCATTATGAATTTTAATTTTTATGATAATTATTTACGAAGTAATTAATATTATTGTGATATTTAAAAATTATTACAATGACATGCATAATAATTAAATCATAAATATATAAATATATATAAATATATATATATATATATATATATATATATATATATATATATATATATATATATATATATATATATATATATATATATATATATATATATATATATATATATATATATATATATATATATATATATATATAAAAGCATAGTACTAATAATAATTAAAATTCAATTCCCCATTTATAATTTCAAATTAATCAATAAAATATATATTACCCTAACATTTTCACTCTTACCATTACATCACATTCATCTAAGTCTAAGACATTTTAGTCTTAAAAAAAAACATACATATCAAAGAAAATGTTAGAATGATTTTAATCCTTATCCTTTATTATTCCTGAAAAAAAATTTCAGCGGCGAATATCCATCCAAAATGTTTTGACATTGTAGATCGCAGCCTCATGTTTCGCAACTCGTCGCTCCATTTCATTATACTACCATTCAGTTACAACAAAACAAATAAACCCACTTCATATTCATAAACTTCTCTCTAATTTTCTTTCCCATTTTTTCTCTCTCCTTCATGGCTTCCATTTCGACAATCTCTCCTCCGAACCTCACTTTCCCGAAGCAAAACCTCTCTGTTACCTTCCCTATCAAACGACCCTCACGTCTCCACTTCCCTTCCCAACCTTTATGCCTCTGTCTCAGCTCCGTCGCCGACGACAACCACAGCAGCACAAACAATAACGACGGCCGATGGAATTCGATTCTCCGCGAATTCGTCACCGGCGCTATGAAGCAATTCGAATCGTACGTAAACGCGCTCAGAAAAGGCCGCGCTGCAGCTGAAGACCGCGGCGATGTTAACTATGAAGATTGGGATTGGAACCGCTGGCGTCAGTATTTCGATGAGGTTGACGACCAAGAACGTATTGTCATCATCCTCAAGGTTTTCCCTCGATACATTCCTGTGGTTTCGTTTTGTTTTTTGTGCTTATCGTGAATCAATCGATGTTAGTTTTTATTGACTTCGGTGCCAAAGAAGTTTTATATTGAAAGATTTGATTTCATTCTGACTTAAGAGGAATTGTCACGTGTAGAAGCTCTACTCATTTGATTAAAATAGGCATTCGTTCTTTATCCAATGTTTTGATGATTTTGTTAATTAATTGACTTGACATTCTTTATTATGGAAGTCTTCACCGAATTAAACGTATTCTTAAAATCAATCAAGTAGTTAATTGCTTTGTAAACAACTTGTTAGCCGTTTGCTTTGGTTTGGTAATGACTTAAAGTTATCAAAATCAGAAACAATTTGCTTTTAGTTAACATGAAACAACAGTAAGTCTTGTAAATGGCATAGTCTTGAAAGGAGTTTTTGGTAAATTTTTAATGGTGAGCTGAGTTCGTGATGTTTTATGTCAATCCGGATTCTCATGCCATACTTAAATAGGATTTCTTTGAACCCGTTTATAATTTAAATCATTGCTTGGCTTTTTTATTTTTGTGCTCAACAGTCTCAGTTACGTCATGCTGTATATGTGGAGGATTATGAAGAAGCTTCTAGGCTTCAGGTGGCAATTGCAGCTGCATCTAACAATGACAGTGTTGGAAAAGTGATATCCCTTCTCAAAGTAGGGATTTTGACAAATGGGTGTTATGCTGTTAGCTGATTTTTTTTGCTTTACTTTTTCACTATATTGTGTATTATTTAGTTATGTAAGTATATTTTCTAATCTTGCAGAGAGCCATAAAAGAAGAGCGGTACAGTGATGCAGTTTTTTTAAGAGATAAAGCTGGTGCTGGACTTGTGAGTTCTTATGGAATTTATTTAATGGCAGCTTGCATGCATGTCTTTGAATTGTAGTGGAATTAGAATATCAGATGCAATGTCATAGGGTGGCCCCAGTATTACATATTGGTGCTGAAATTGCTATTACTTGGGTTGATAATTTGTTTTAGACATCAAGACAACAACGCTTTCCTCACCACTTCATTTATGAAACCAATAACTAAATTATAAGATGTTTTTGTAGACTAAATTTATTTTTGTATCTTGCTAATAAGCTGTGGAACCTAATGACAGTCAATATTATGAGAGCCAGGTAACGAATAATAATCCATTTTCGAAAAACATTTAGTTTGCTTATTATCATGATTTCAAATTTTAAGGTGCATTTGTTTTTTCACTTTGATTTTAATATGATTCCAATTCTTGTAAATGTGTTGGTTGATTGCATCCCTAATTTTCTATTAAATAGATTAATGCTGTGGGTTGACATTTTAGTGTTGTATGCTAAGCCAATAATTTGCACCTTTTGCAACATCTGTTTTTGATGTATATTTATAATTTGTAATATTGTTATGTCTCTTGAACTGTTCCATAAAAATCATTAAAACTCACATATTAATTGGCTCTTACAGGTTGGTTGGTGGGCTGGTATTTCAAAAGATGTAAATGATCCACATGGTTTAATTATTCGCATAACTCCAGAGCATGGAAGATATGTGGCAAGGAGTTATAGTCCTAGGTAATTTTTATGTCATGATAATAAGAAACATGTAAGGCAATTAGCCTCTTACATAGGAGGAATGGATTGTGTGAAAATGTCTAAAATATTTGTGTTAAGAGTTCCACTATCTATGATATGTAGCCAGTCATTTTTCTTAGATTGTCAACTGTTCCATGTTTTGCCCAACCTTAACCTGAAACTAAAACCCATAAAACCTTGGTCATTTTTCTGGATAGATGAGGTGTTCAGAACTAAATTTTATCATTTTTGCGTTTTATCGGTTCTGATAGAGTAGCTAGTCTATAGAGGACGTGTCTTGCTTGAGTTTCTGTTAACTCTTTAATGTTTAGGTGTAGTTGGAATTAGAATTATGGTCTAACTGCATTTATACATTACAATACATTCAGACTATATAATTTAGAACACAATTACAGATTCGCTTCTAGAATATTCAATTTATCTCAAAAAACTATTATATCATAATTTTCTCATGTTCTCTCCCTTTCTTTTGACCATTAAAATTTAGCACACCCTGTTAGTCTTAATCCCAAAGTAGCTCTATGCAGGTTTATAAAGTTGTTGTAATAAGCTCATTATGACATGGTCAAAATTACAAGCACTACTTGTACTCCCTCCGTCCCACAATGAGTAACCCAGTTGACCATTTCACACAGATTTAAAAAAAGGAATAAATGAAAGAGAGAAAATGATATTTTTACTAAAGTATCCCGTATCAAGTATTGGGAATGATGAAAGTAATATTAGTATAAGTATTGGGAATGATGAAAGTAATATTAGTTAGAGGGTACAATTGAAAAAAGGTGCATTGGGAATTGGAACAGGTCATTCATTTTGAAACATATTTTTATTCCAAATGGGTCACTCATTGTAGGAAGGAGGGACTAGAATCACATCAATGTGGTGCCTGATTGGAACAGGATTTTTGATTAAGCTTAGGGCATCAAGAGTTTTACTAAGAAGGTAATCCTTGATGGAGCAATTGTTGACCATGTTAGAACAAAGTTCAACACGGTGATGTTGCGCCTTGTCACAAGTTTGTTTTTGAAAATAAATAAGCAAAGAGATGATCCGAAGAGCTTGTATGCATGCAAGCAACCGATAATACATGCACGAGGATTTCACTGAGCAAGGTGGATTGAAGCTAAGAGAGAAGCATTTGGTTGCGCAATCTTCATGAGGCATACGCATGATTGACCTTCGCTGCATGACGATCTTCGTCACCGAGAAATTGTAGAGGAACACAAGGACAAACAATGAACTCTGAGATTGTGAGCATTGACATAAGTCTCGATCTGTTTAATCTTTAATGAATTTCTGAAATTTTCATAATTTGAAGCTTTCATGTGCAACGGAGGAGGAAATAAATTGTCAGTGCCAACGGAGCCATGCGACCGTGGTGGAGGTTATTGAGAAAAATAAGTGTTAGTTGGAAGGATTGAGAATCTAGTGTGAGGTGGAAGTTTCACATTCATTAGAAAAATGAAGATTGAGCAGTTTATAAGTGAGAGAACCCATACTTCTATCACGTTAAGGTTTTGGGTGAGTATGTGGTGTGTCTCTCACAAAGTGTATTGCTCATAAAAAAATACTAATGTAACAGTGGTATCAGCACTTGTTGCAAGTGAGTGACCGACTTCCTTGTATCGAAAGTCCTCTCCACATAGTGGTGGGTGGGAGGCATGTTTCGTTGAAAAAGTGCCAATGGCGGTACAAGTGTATGTGGATGAAAGAGCTTGCACTTGAGAGAGAGTATTGTGGATAGACTCACAGGGGGAGTGTTGAGAAAAACAAGTGTGAGTGGGAAGGGTTAAGAATCAAGTGTGAGGTGGAAGGCTCACACTAATTAGAAAGTTGAAAATTGAGCACTTTATAACTAAGATAATTCATACACCTATCACTTTTTAAGGTTTTTGGGTGAGTATATGGTGTGTCTCTCATAAGGTGTGTTGCTCATAAAATAAGACCCCAATGTAAAAATGTTTCCACATGTTAAACCCCCCGGATTGATGATCCAACAAAGGAGTGTTAGTGTGAGGTCAACCATGGATCTAACTGACAAACTGATACCAATATACCATATTAAAAGTTAGACTAGGGATTCTATGATTCTCACAAATTCTGTTTTCATTGATTGAGTAGTTGGTTTCAATATCAGATACATCACTTGCTTTATAGAAGGCAAGTGTCTACCTGCAGTAGCAGGTCACCCAAACTGCCAGGTGTCAGTCACATGTGCAGCTGTCATAACTACTTTTCTGAGCTAGTTACATTAGACCTATTCTATAGTCTCAAACACATTATATGTGCTTACATCTAATCTACTTTAGAGCTACTCTAGAGTAGATGAACTGAAGAAAGGGTTGCTAGGAAGTAATATGATGGTTTATTCTGTCATCTTAGTCATATTTAAGTTTGTTGAATGACAAAATTGTGATGATTTGTTTCCTTATTCAGTTAGGATTGGGAATCCAATATTAGATATTGATTAGTGCTTTGTCTACAGTAATAACATCCAACATATGATTCATCAATATAATTTTAGTGTTGATATTGATATTATTTTCCTCCCTCTATACCCCAAGAGACTAAAACCCAACTTAAACTGTAATTATACCTGTGGTTTTATGCTCAGATGTCAGACTGTCATTAGACAAAGCATTATACCCTGATTCTGTGTTTAAAACTTACTATCAGTCATGCTATCTATTTTCCCTGTATGAAATATATCTTAAAAATATTGATTTATTACTCACATTTCTTGGAAACAACTTTTCACCTTTTGATGTTTATGTTAGAGTCCCATATTAGATGAAATATGATGTGAACATGAGTTTATAAGTAAGAGAAGAGACATCCCTCATCTTACGAGCCGGCTTTGTAGGTTGACTTAGACCCGTCCAAAATTCTGGATGTCAAATTTATAATGAGAGTCATCCCTCACTTTACAAATTGGTTTTGTAAGGATGAGATAGAGCCTATTGATCCGAGCCACCCGTATTGACCCGAGCCACCCACCCAAGTCCCACATTGACAAGAGATAAGGGCCTGCAAGTATTTTGTAATGAGAAGTATTGACCCGAGCCACACACCAAGCTCAATAGTATTGATTCGAGTCCCCCACCCAAGTCCCACATTGACAAGAGATAAGGGCCTGCAAATATTTTATAATGAGAAGTATCCCTTACTTTTTAAGCCGGGTATGTAATTATGAGTCTCAGACCTATTATAAAAACCTAATAGTTCAAACTATTTTTGCACGTGATACTTTTGGTTGTTCTGCCACTACCTTATGTGGCTTCTGTTGTTAACCCTTCTACCATATTTTCACTAGGCAACTTGCAACATCTGCTGCTGGTGTTCCTCTATTTGAGTTTTTTCTTACAAGGGATAAAAAAGGTGACTTCAAGTCGCAGGTATCTCTTCTTGACTGACCCTAAAACTTATAATTTTTTTGTGTGGGGTAGTTGCATAAAGAAAGCTCATTGCACTGAAGACGGATTCTCTATTCCCATTCAAAATTATGCTATCTGAATATATATGTGTGCTAAGGATCATATTTCATGCTGATAGTTAAGCAAATTTTCTGATACTTATTCTGTATGTGTGCTAAGGATCATCTTCATGCTGATAGTTAAGCAAATTTCTGATAGTTATTCTGTTTAGAAAACTCAAGTTTAACTTTAATCACATGCATGTTGGCTGAGGAACTGGGATTGCATGCAAGAATTAAGTGCATTACTTGTAGCTCACAATCCATTAAATTTCAAATTTTCTGCGTTTCATACGCTAATAATCTCTATCAATACTAGCATAAAATTTTGCTCATTTATTTGATTTTTTAAGTCAATCCGGAGTACCAGCCAATTTGTACTGTAGATGCTGAGTTGGATTTTAAAAATATGGCAATGGAGCCCTCTTGGGTTGGAATTTTCTTTCTTGTTTTCTCTTATTTTTTTTTAGTTGGAAAAATGCAGATTCAAACATACATGAGCAATTTTATTTCCCAGTGTTAATATGGAGGTTCACATTGCCTCTGAATTTTTTATTAAGAAACCCGTCCTCAGAATCTATAAATTAAGTTTATTTTGGGTAATGTTGTCATATTTCTCAGAAATGTCTGACTTTAGTCGTGAGCCTCACTTTATTTCTTTTAGATTCATGCCTAGTTCCCTTAAATAGTTCTCCCTCTATCCCAAATTATAAGTCATTTTGCAAAAAACATTTGTCCTAAATTATAAATCATTTTAGAATTCCAATACAACATTAATGACTTTTTTTTAAAATACCCTCTATCATTTATTACTCTTTCTTCTTTCTATTTTTTTAATTTTGCTTTCAATGTAATTAATGAATGGCAATTTCGTAAAATTATAGATCATTTCACTATCCCATACAACAATCATTGCATTTCTTAATTTGTGTGAAATATCCAAAATGTCTTATAATTTGGGACTGGGACTGGGACGAGGGAGTAAATACTAAGGAGGCCCTCCCAATGGGGAATGTAACCTTTCTCTCCTTGTGTTTAGTTTGAGATTAAACCAAACTTTTGTGGTTACGTTTTACTGATATGCAGCTGAGTTACTACTATTAATGATAAAGTAAAATAACTATTATAATAACTTTTTAAAAAGTTTATAATATTAATAACAATAATATATAACTCAGTCTCAATCTAGTATGTTATCCGAAGGCAATATTGCAATAAAGTATTATTTTCATTTTCAGGCTGTGTACCTAAAACGAAAAGGGTCATACCATGGCCCCCCAACAATGTCCTCTAAAACATCGGATGCTAGTGAGCTGTTTGTTGTGAGTACTGAGGATTCAGAAAGTGGTGATGATAGGAGTGATGGCTCTGACCCTTCTGAGAGAATGCCTGCATTTCAGAATGTCTTGAAAGACATGATTCCTGGTAAGAAGCTGAAGATTTTCAAAGTGATAACTCCAGGAAAAGTTGACATGGATCTATCTAAGGTGATTAAGGAATTAATTGAGGAAGAAGAAAGTGGGAATGAAAATGAAGATGGAGAAGATGACGGCAATGAAGAAGATGACACTGAAGACGAAGACGCAGACGCAGACGAAGACGAAGACGAAGAGGTGATTAAGGAATTAATTGAGGAAGAAGAAAGTGGGAATGAAAATGAAGATGGAGAAGATGACACTGAAGACGAAGACGGAGATGAAGATGAAGAAAAGGAAAATGATACAGTAACTCTGGAACTGGAAGACATTAATTTGGAAACTGATCAAGAGGGAGATGATGAGAACGAGATAAATGCCGATCTGGGAACTTTTGAACGTGAAGAACAGAATGAAATTGCTGTCAAAGTTGTCATTGGTGGTCTTATGCAGAAACTTTCCAGCAATTTATCCCCTAGAGATTTGCTTCGAGTTCCTGCTAAGCTGGAGATGAAGGAGCGTGGTTCATTTTCTTTTACTGTTGAAAACGAAGTCAATCAGCAGGATGGTCATGACAAAGAGAAATCTTCATCAGATAAATCAATTAAGTTTCAAAGTCGTCGCAGAGTTGATCATGTTATTTCTGACATTGCTAAATTTATTGACAAGGAAAATGTACCTGCAAAGGTAAGTAAAGTAATCAAATAAAATCTGCAGATCAGTTTTTGTCAAAATTCATTATTCTTAAATTCTAGTCATAAGTTGCTTTGACTATAATGCATTGGTTCCATCTTATAGATGCTGAAAGAGGTGGGAGAATTATTAAGTCTCACTCTAAGTCAGGCTCAAAATCATCAACCATTATCCGGGTCTACGATTTTCAATCGCATTGAAATACCATCTTCATTTGATCCTCTAAATGGTGATTTTCTAGTGACTTTGTCATTTCATTATTATGAGGTGCTTATTATTGACTGCTGACAGTAGAATGTTTGTGTTGTTGTAATCATAGTATATTGTTAACCAAGTGCCAAATATTCCCATTTTCAATCAGGCTTATATATTGGAACATATGGTCTTTACTCCTCTGAAGTTATTCAAATGAGGCATAGATATGGTCAATGGCAAGAAGATGGTAGGGCAAAGGCGACTTCAGATCTCGAGTTTTATGAGTATGTAGAGGCCTTGAAACTAACTGGGGATCCTTATGTACCAGCTGGCCAGGTAATAATTTCATGAATTTTATTTTTTTGAACTCCAATTATAGTGTTTTAATTTCCTTCCTTCATCATTCTGTGATGTTGGTTTTTATCTATGCAATCCACCTGGGAGAAAAAGAGAGCAGGAGAGGGGTGCACTGTATGATTATGTTAACCAAAGTTGGAGAATGCTGGTGCTGATAAGTGGGAGATATCCGTGAGTTGTAAACCATGATAGCAATGGTTTTTCTATGCCAGTTGTCATTTTCAAGATAGCTGGGTTCATCTTTTTATTTATTAATTTGATAACATTTATTAAAAATAATAACTAATAATGTTTTAATAAATTTAAGTTAGTAAATGATTTTTTAAATTCAAATCAAAATTGTTACATAAGCTAAATATTTTTTAACATTATCTTTTGCAATGAATTGAAAATATCGATAACTTAATGGATACGTACATATATAGAAAAGAGGGTCCCTTATATAGACTCCGTAAAAAATGTTCGAAAGGTGAACTCATGTGTGGTACTATAGAGATGGCATTTCCAAGATACCCAATTTCACCTTTTTCCCACAATGTGGAACTAGGGTTTACAGTGTAGATGTTTCAATTTCTGATGCCCCAAATCTAAAATGCACAAACATTTAAAAAAATTGAAACTGGAAGCATCTCGGTCCATATTAGAGGCTCTCCCTAGATACAGTTGTATACAATTTTGAAGTTAATGATACTTAGAAGACAAGTACAAAAGACTGTACTGATAGAACCAATGGGCCTATCATGTACCCACACAGCAAATTGGTGACTTAGGCCATTCTATGTGTGGTATAAGAGGATATGATTTTAAACAGCTTCACACTTATATGAGAAGATCTCAGGAACTGCTTTTCTTCAAATGTTATCTCATGGATTTTTTGTATTTGAGGTGTTGTGTGCTGTTGGGTTTCAAACAGCTCATGTACAAAATATAGAAGAAGAAAATGGAACTTCCGTACTTCCGGTTAATCATGTATTTTCTAAGATGGTATCAGAGTTTGGTTCAAGATCCAGTGGGCTACCTGCCACCAGGTTTTTGCTATAAGGACCACTCACCATTTATATCCACGCACTAAGCCTAATAATGTCGAGCGTGAGGAGGTGTGTAAGGAGTTCCACATCGGACAATATAGTTTGAAGATATCTTTATAAGTGGGGTTAGTACTTACCTTAAAATCTGGTTTTCTAAAGTTGATTAGTGTTAAGAGTCCCACATCGGACAATATATGGTATGAATATGTGTTTATAAGTGGAGGCAATCCTAGGGTTGAGTTAGGTCCAACCACATTTCTTAACAATTAGGTTCAACCCAAAATTCCAAGAAGTTATTACATCTTCGGAAACAGGTTGTATTTTTTGTGTATGAAACTTGTGGTCTCTTTTTGAAGCTGATTTTTTGCATTATGGATTACTCATCATAAATCTCATTAATCATGTTCTTTGATCCCCTTAGGTGGCATTTCGTGCAAAAGTTGGAAAGATGCATCAACTTCCACATAAAGGGATAATTCCTGAAGAATTTGGAGTGGTATGGAATTATTTTATATTTTATATTGTAGGGGTTCCCATTTTAGTTTCATTGAATCTCTACTCCCTCCAAAACCTTTATTTATTGAATTGGCTTCGATTCACAATAAATAATAGGAAATTATTATTGTTCTGCAATCTTATCTGATTTTATTAATTTCAGATTGCTCGTTATAAAGGTGAAGGAAGATTGGCTGAGCCAGGGTTTCAGAATCCGCGATGGGTTGATGGTGAACTTGTAATTCTTAATGGAAAGGTTTGTATTTTCCACACTGGCCTAGTTATTTAGCCTTTGCTATTGTAATTCCAGCTTAGTTTTTGCAACTTTTTATAGCCGTGTCTTGCTTTTTGTTGATTTTTTTGCAGCACATTAAAGCAGGGCCTGTTGTTGGATTTGTGTATTGGGCTCCGGAGTATCATTTTTTGGTCTTTTTTAATCGGCTTAGGCTTCAGCAGTAGGATTTCGTTGTTCATACTATCAGAAACTTTGTAAATTCTTTCTTCAGACTTCAGCGTAAGTTCTCTTTAAAAAGGCCTTTTTAGCTTAACTGGCTAACTCATCTATTAATTTTATATATTATGCGCCCGATCTAATAATTTTGCTAAAGGCTTGGTATATTTGAACCTATAACTGCCTTTTTTCAATCCTAGACAAGTTTATGCATATTATGAGCATGCAGGGCGAAAAGAGCCCGATATAATAATTTTGCTAAAGGTTTGGTATATTTGAACCTATAACTGCCCTTTTTCAATCCTAGACAAGTTTATGCATATTATGAGCATGCAGGGCGAAAAGGTGGGTGTTTTAATAACATGAGCAAGCCAACTGATATGGACTTTTAGTTCTGCTGATTAGGATCAGTTATGCTAATTAGAATTTATTATTTTATTTATTTTTAATAAATTAGTATTTAGAATTTTTAAATTTGAATTTCATTATTTTTTAGGATAAGATTTAGGTTAAAACAGAATCTTCCTATTAAATAAGATTATTTTCATTTAAATTTAAATGATAGTGATTCTAGGGACTGACCTAATTTAATTAGAAACTTTTCTTCTATTGTAAGCCTATTTAAAGACATTCATATTAAAAATAAAATCATCAATAATTATTATCAAAAAGTATTTGTGAATTTAATAAGAGACTCTGTCAAGGCCGAGCTTGCTTCTACCTTCACCATAGGTCGAAGCAAAGCTTCTACCGCGTCTAGGACTGTGTCAACACGATCCAAGACAAAGGGACATAACAATTTGGTATCTAGAGCCAACATGGATGACGCGGATTTAGCATCAGTCATGAAGGAGTTCATTGAACAAATGACGATCAGGCAGACTGCTTTAGAACAGCAGATGACGGTCCGACATACTGCTTTAGAAGAGCAGATGATAGCGATGATGGCCAGGCAGACAGCTTTAGCAGAACAGATTACTAACCTCTCAATCTTAATTCAAGGAGCGAATAATGGTTCAACCAAAGACAACTCAAGATGGAGGAATTGGTAGTGGCCACAATAATGACCATAGGGACAAAAACAGCTCGCAAATAGGAGGCAGCATGATTCCGCGCTATTCCAAAATGGATTTTTCCACCTATGATGGGACAGGGGACCCATTAGGGTAGCTAAGGCGCTGCGATAGGTTTTTTCTAAACCAAAAAATTACTGAAGGAGAGAAAGCGGGATTAACAACTTTTCATTTGATAGGAGAAGCGCAACTATGGTTCGATCAAATGGAAGAAGAAGAACCCGGAATGGTGTGGGAACGCTTCAAGGAATGTTGCCATATACGGTTCGGACCACCTATGAGCAATAATCCATTAGGAGAACTTGCCAACCTCAAGCAAACTGGATCTGTGCAGGATTATCAACGCCTATTTCAGTCCTTGCTTGCTAGAACCCATGATTTAAGCCTAAGCAACAAGTGGACTTGTTTAGTGCTGGGCTGATTGATGAATTAAGGATAGACGTTGAGCTTCAACAACCACAAAATCTCAGAGCATTTGAACGCAAACTGCAGTGCTTACGAAACCAAAAAGTGAACATACCGCAAGTGTTCGATGACAAGACCTTACCTATCCCTAAAACAGCTCTTTGCAGTAGAATAAATAGATGAATTAAAGAATTGTTAATTCAGCGGGAAGGATATACTCCAGAAGATAAAACATGGGAACCTTCGATTGGTTTCACAAAACTTATCCTGAATTTGAGCTTGAGGACAAGCTCAATACCGAGAGGGGAAGTGATGATATGGACCTGTGGTTTTGCTGATTAGGATCAGTTATGTTAATTAGAATTTATTATTTTATTTAATTTTAATAAGTTTGTATTTAGAATTTTTAAATTTGAATTTCATTATTTTTTAGGATAAGATTTAGGTTAAAACAGAATCTTCCTATTAAATAGGATTATTTTCATTTAAATTTAAATGATAGTGATTCTAGGAAAAGTAGTTACTGACCTAATTTAATTAGGAACATTTTTTCTATTGTAAGCCTATTTAAAGGCATTTATATTAGAAATAAAATCATCAATAATTATTATCAAAAAGTATATGTGAATTTAGAAAGAGGTTCTGTCAAGGCCGAGTCCAACTGTGTGAACACGATCCAAGATAAAGGGAAATGACACCAACCTAGTGCAAAAGTTAGTATAGCCTATTTTCATCTCTAATTTTTAATGGCTTTATTTTAGTGTTCAGTTAATAGTTTCCTAAAATGGATAGTTATAATTTTTGGCTCCGATGGCCCTTTGAAATGGCCAAATGACAAGCCAGATAATTGACGGATATATATATATATATATATATATATATATATATATATATATATATATATATATATATATATATATATATATATATATATATATATATATATATATATATATATATATATATATATATATATATATATATATATATATATATATATATATATATATATATATATATATATATATACTATGATTGAATAAAACTTGGTAGCGTTTATGAATTAAATTCTTTATTTTAAATATGTAGGGGGCTGCTTTATAGTTTTCTTACATTTTCCTCTTATGTCTGTCTCTCTTGTGCAGTGTAAAATAGTTTCTGCCGAGCAGCATAGATTTTGAGCACTGGGCTGCGCTTGTGTAGTCGTAACTCAACTTATTGGGTTATCTTAAGCTTGATTGTCATAGCTTGACTAATCATCATGAACTAGTTTTCCATTTCACGTATTGTAGAGCTGTAGTAGTGTTCAGGTGGCACATCCTTCATCAAATTTGTATAGTGGTCCATTTTTTTCTGATATGTTATATTCAAATGTATCATAACTACATAAAATCATGCTTAGTCTAATGTGTTTAGGGTTTCATTGTTCATTCTGTTAGGATGAATGAAATAAGTTCATTACAAGTGGCATTATTTATCTTCCCACTTTGGATTGTACTCGAGTTTTTTTAGCATATCCTCATTCAATCTATACACACTCCCAAAAGGGTCTTGCCAAAATTTTGAATAATGATTTGTGGGACATGACGAAACTTTACTGTTGTGCCTCTTGTCAATTCTTGCACTTGGGAGTGGTTGCCTAGCTTGCTTAAAGCCTTGTTGTATGGAATTTAATTTATTGAAAATGTGGTTGTAGACAAAAAAAATATTTCATTTTAATTTTTCGAAAACCACAAGAAAATTATTCCAACATTTTTTTATTCCCACCATAAATAGTTCCAGATTTATTTTTTTCCCAAGCAACTCACATGACAAGCACTTACTGTGATCTAGTTGGACATCCCAAGGTTCATGAATCAATATAATTTGGTTTACTCCCTTGTGCTAATTTTAAGGCAAGCATGATGTTTGTTACTCTCTTTTAAATAACAGGAGTTTGCCATAATTTTGGGATAAACTTTGCCATCTCAATTAATTTGTAAGTGAGAGGAAAAACAAGTATAATTTAAGTTTTCATAGTGGGTTTTAGTTGAATTTTAAAAATATATATGCATAACAGAAAGGAAAAGCGTATTACGGCTGTTATTTGCCATTACTTTTTTATTGCATAGCATGATTGTGCCCCAGTAGCAAAAGAAAATTAGATATTGCCGTGAAAAGTCTATCTCTGTATTCTATTGCAGAAGTTTAGACTTACACAAGAAGTACATACAATACAATCTTAATTATAACCTTCCAAAAGTGGGAGCATATATTTTACAAATGATGATATGTCACATAGGACCATTTGCTATTTATTTAGACCAACCAAACTTTAAAATATACCATCTTACAGTTTTATTGATAAGGGCTATACAGCATGTTAATACTTTCTCTACTGACCAAACAACACTTGCTTTGCTATCTTGGCTCCACGTTCTTTGGCCATATACAGACCTACGTGATGCATAAACTCCTGCAAATTGTTCATTAATTCTTTGGTTTTTTTAAAACTGTACGCGTAAATTAGTAGAATGCATTGTTACACATGTACCTGGGGATGGGCTAAAGCTCCTTTGATATTTGTGGCTACGTCAAGAGGGACATTGAAGGTAGCGCATGCATTTGAATACACCACCACATCTTGTAGAGGCTTCAGAAAACCACGGTTTTTAGCAGACATTGTAGAACATACAAAATCCAGAACACATATATCTGTGCATACACCTACCACCACCACCTTCATTTCACCAATTACCAGTAAATTAACAAGTTAGTTACTTTAGTAAGATAATACCATCTTATTATTAAAGTTCATGATTCAATGATTACTGTTATACTCACTGTTTTAATCTTATTCTTCTTCACCCAATCCACAAAAACATTTGAACCATCTTCTTCCATTGACCCAACATATCCATCAAAACAATCCTTACGTCTGATTGTTACATTCGTTTCATTCTCCAGCCATCTCAAGGCTACAATTCCATAAATTAAAATATAATACAGCAAGAAAGTAGTGAAAATATAAAAAAGTGAATAATTGTTAAACCTGGAACTAGATTTGATTCATCAGTCCCAGCAATACAGTGAGGGGGATAAGGCTCCTCTGGCTTGTTAGGCTGATGAGAATCAAGAAAAGCCATTACTGGCAATTTCTTCTCACAGAACAGTCTCGCTAGCCTTGCCGATTCACTGATCATTTCTGAAATTTGTTTATTAGACTCTCTTGGCGCCTGAAAGTATATATAGCAAAACTCAGAAGCAATTAAAAACAAGTATATGGATCTTCATCTATGACTGCTGCACGGTGTCATAACACATAGAACTGTTGGATCATGTCGAATCAGTTGGTTCTACACACCGTGCAGCATGAGTGGATCTCAAGACTTGTGAATGAATAAATACCAGATTTCCAGCACCAACTGTGCAGAAGCCATTTATGATATCAACAAGAACAAGACCATTTACAGCGTCTTCAGCTAAAACCACCGACTCTTGTTCAAGAGGAATCTCGTTCTTCAAAAGTTCAATTGTGTGTGACACCATCTTCTCAGTCTAAATTAATCCGTGTATTCAATTTCAATTTCACTTTTTATAACTATATAGTATTGCGTATGTCGGTGTGTGGAGGGAAAACGACATCTATATCTAATGTAACATAAAGTCAAAAGATTGGTCCACCAAGTCCACTGATTGCTAAGTATATCTAACTTTGAATGTTAATTTAATACTTTCTCAATTCAAAATAGAAGAAAATTCTTGACCAAAAAACATAGCAGAAAATTTTAAGACGTAACATTGAATCCTTGATGGCTACGGTTAAACACTTTAATTTAACATCCGTGACTCTATTAATTAAATATACTCCATATGATTTTACTTATCAGCTTTCTTTTCTTCTATTTTTATTTTTATTTGAAAATATAATAGAGATTGTAAAATACAACATGCATTACGAATTTATTTACAAAAATAATCTTATTTAAAATATATTAAAATATATAAACGGTCTCTTTTTAGGATATTCATAAATAAAAATAAAATATAAAAATACTTTTTTTTTACAAAGTTATTATTACAATCACTTTTTATTTGTTGTAACCAATCCGATTATGTTTATTTGATTCTACAGTGAAGAAATTTTATTCAGAAAGAATCAATTATATAAAATGTATTTGAATGTAAATTGTTATATGTTTAAATTATTTTAAATGCGAGTTACCCAATATATTTCAATAAAAATTAAGTTGACTCAAAAATTACATATAAGTAAAATTAATTTTGAAAATCATAACCAGTTATACTCTAAAGAAATAAATATGCCAAAATAATTTTACAACAATTATGGATGTTCCAAAACTAAAAACCAAACCTACACTATTTTATTTAAGGTTTAATATATTTTTTGATATTGTATCTTAATATCGAATTTCATTTTGGTCCTTTAACTTTAAAAAGGTTCATATTAATTTCTTAATTTTTTAAAATGTTTCATATTAGTCCTTTTTTTCTATTAGCGACGAAAAAATTTAAAAGTTAATCGCTGAATTCGTCGCTAATTAGACAAAAAAGATCATATGAACCGTTTTAAAGAGTTAAGAGGTCAACATGAACCTTTTTAAAGTTAAGGGAAAAAAATGAACCTCGAAGTTAAGATACGAGACAAAAAAAATATATTAAATCTTTCTTTAATTATTTTGTTTGATCTTTTAAACAATTTGATCAAACTCATCATCCTTTCAAATTACAAGTAATATATTTCTATAGGTCTAATATCTTTTACTCCCATAACTTAACTTAACATTTCACTTTAATTAATAAACGCTCATTTTTATCCTTCAAAAGCCATTACATTATTCAAATAGATTCTTTTTATTAAATTATGTGAAAAACGTTAAATTATACATGTGTGACAATGTAATTGAAATTATGTTATTTGACTTGAATTTTTTTTTATTTCTTTCGATGTCAACTAAAAAACTCGATCATTCACAAAAAAAAACTCTGATTAAACACATTCTATTTGTTTCAGAAGAAACAAAACACAAAAACATGTTATCTCTTCTTCCCCTCAAACCCTAACATTGTCGTTACCTCTTTCTCGACCCTATCTCTGGCCATCACCACTTCCAATGGAAAAATTAAACAATATTCATACTCATATCTCATGGTCTTCCTAATGAGCCAACTGAATTTTTATTTCGAAGAACATCACCGTCTGTGTTGGAAATTCAACCACAACCTATGGAGAAATTCACTCAATCAATATTGATCTCAAGATTATTTCAACTCACGTAATGACAATGAAAGAAAAAATTAGAAAGAAAGTAAACATTGAAGAAGAAGATGAACAATTTTTCTGCAGAGAACTCTCTGCCCACAAACTATGGAAATTCTGTTATTTCACTTGCAACTGCAAACTGTGAATTACAAAATATGATGATTAATTTACAAAATAAAGGTTTCTCCCTATTTATAGATTTAGGTTAGCTTGCACCTCATGCCAAAACCCAAAACTATAAAAGCCCAAAATAGCTAACATTACTAAAATAGGCCTAAGTCGAATTCTTGTGTGAAGCAACCTGCTTTGACACTTCGACACATTAAGCAACTTGACACACTAACATATAAGGCTAATATGACTAATCTTTGTTTCTATTGAGCTACAATGCTTCGATACAAGGAATTACAAACTCAACACATCATCTAATCCATTGTGTCTAAGCTATTTACATTCATCATAGACCTTAGCCTTCTGAATACTTCGACTGACACTCCCTTCGTCATGATGTCTGCAATTTGATTCTCATTTCTGCAGTGTTCCAAATTCATCTTCCCTTCTGCTACCTGCTCTCGAAGATAATGAAACCTTATCTTGATGTGCTTGCTTCGACTGTGTGCTATTAGATTCTTTACCAAGTTGATAGCTGACATGCTGTCGATCTTCATGGTAATTTCTCTATGAATTTTTGCTATAATATCTTCAACCTGGTTCACCATCCAGGTTGCTTGGCATGCACAAAGAGAAGCAGATAAATATTCTGCTTCGCATGATGACAATGCCACTATTGGCTCCTTTTTCGAACTCCAAGCAACTGGTGCACCACCTAACATAAACACATAGCCAGCTGTGGATTTTCTATCCTCAGCATCACTACACCAACTAGAGTCGGTGTATCCCGCTAACTTGCATTATTTTCCTTCATCAACTGTAGGAAATAAAATGTTATAGTCGAGAGTCCCTTTTAGATACCTTAGTGTCGCGGTGAAATTTGAATACCAAGCTATTGATGAGCTTGAATCTAATTCATTTGCAATCGGTCTTTGATTTGTCCAAAGGAAGGGAAAAAGATCGAAATACCCACAATGCAATGCAAATGCAAGCTAGAGAGTTATAAGTTCAGGGGTTGGTTAAACTTAGGGAAGGTGCTAGCATCCTAAGTTTCTGTAGTACTCTACAGGAACCTTTTGTTTTATGTTTGTTTTATTGCTAAGGTTTATCTGCTTAAGGGTGAAAGACCTAGGAGTTTATTTCTAAGTATACTCGATAAGATATCGCATCTTATGCCTACATATCCTTACGGGAGTGGAATCAGAGTATCTATAGTTCCCCTAAAGGGTTTGAGGAGTTCTTTGACTGTGGTCAAAGTTCCTACGGGATTAGGGTAGTTGATTGATTAATTTTAGGAGAAAAGATGAGTTGTTATTTTAAGGGAGATTACTTGATTGAACCACCACAACTTTGTAGGAAAATAGTCTTTCCATCGTATTAAGAGAAGGGTTCAAGCACTCAAAATGTAATCGACAAGTATGCCACTATCTCTCTTAAGGCAAAGTCCCCACAAATTGATTGAATTGTTATGGGGTAGGAGTTTTATATCGCTTAAGATGATTAACATCTTATTCTCTAATGTGTTTGAATAGTTTGATATTGAGTTAAATTGATTATTCTAAGTTGTAAAGATAAAGGTCCTTCCTATGGGGTAGGATCTAAACTTAGAAGATCAACTTGAATGGGATCAAGGATCAATGTGGGGAATCATGATGCAAATGAGATGCATACGCACAATTGCTTAAGTTATGCGCAGGTTCTTCCTTTGGACGCTATGCAATGCGATAAAATAAATTGCAGGAAGGTAAATAGGGTAAAGTAAAGGCATACACACGCATGAAAGCGCTAAGGTGCACGAGTGAGTGAATTGTGAAGAATCGGTGTGGAAGCGCAAGCGTGCACGATTGATTGGGGGGGGGGGGGATATTGATTTTAGTTGAATTATACTTATGAGAAAATATATTATTTTTTGTGAGATTGTTTTTTAAGAAGAAGGTTGGATTAACTCGTGAGAAAATGATGAGGTTGATTTTAAGAAAAGTTATATTATATTATGTGAATTGATTTTAAGAAAATGCAATTAATTTGATTAGCCTTATTTTATTAGATTATAAATGAATCAGACGGGTTTTGAAATGTGTTTGGATAAATGGAAATGTTTACTAAATAGAAAAAGGGTTTTATTATTAATATTCACACAAGATAATTATAACTAGAAGATTATATATAAAAAAGGAGGTGAAATGTTTTATTAAATAAAAGGATTTTTTTATTAATTTAAAAGAAGGTTTATTATGGATTAATTGAAATTATTGGATAAATATAAAAAGTAGTGAAAATAAGTTAATTAACAAAGGTTGATTAATTATAACAATTAAAAAAAGGTTTAGCGAAAAGAAAATTATTAATTAAAATATAAAATTGATGATTAAATAAAAGATAATTTGTTAATAAAATGAGTCAATAAAAAAATTGATTAATTAAGTAATAAGATGGGCTATTTGGAAAAAGGTTAATTTAAATAGAAATAGGTTTACTAAATTGCTTTAATTAAAATAATGACTGATTAATTAGAAAAAAACAAGGTTAGGTTAATCATTATTCAAATTAATTAAAATAGGTTAAGTTAAATGGTTTAATTAAACGTTAAATTTGGATTAGGTGAGGATTAGGAGGCGTGCGGGTGATTGGGTGTGGTAGGCCCTAAGGGGATTACCGTGGGGATTGCATTGCGGTGCGTAGGATCAATTGTGTGGGAAATGGTCGGTGATGTGTGTGATGGTTCACGGTAACTACCGTGGGTGTGTGTGTACATAATTACAATATAAAATTTAAGAAAACCAGAAACCCTAAGCCCCCCCCCACCAAAATCCCCTTTCGCCGATGGCTTTCGTCTCTCCCCTGTCTCTGAGCTCTTTGTTTTCCCTTCCACCTTTCGTCCATTCTTCTTGTTCGTCTTCTCCGCTTCTTCTCCTCCTTTTTCTTTAAAGACCTAACAACAACCACAAACAAACATCAATCATGAAACAAAAAACCTTTGAAGAAGACGTTACCCAATATGGTGATGACGATGTCTTCCCCGGTGACTCCACGGTGGCTTCTCGGTGGAGATTGAGGGTTTGGTAGTTGACGACGGCTGATTTGCGGCAAATACTTGGACGGATGGCCGGCGGATTAGGTTTCGTTGTGCGATTCGTCAGCAATTCGGCCGGTG